AAATACCTACTAATTTTTCAATAATAACAAATCTTTGAGTGATATCATTAGTATAGTAAACAAATTTACAAATATATTAGGTACCTACAATATTATTTATGTTATAAGCGTTAACAACTATAACAGTTAAGAGTAATTATTTAAACATTTTACTACAAAAAATTAACTTAAATTAAGCATAAATTATTTACAGTAAAATATAATTAAATTACCATTAAATTACTTGAAAAGTACCCAATTTCGTTATAGTACCTACCTAACTTGTAATTTAGTTTACTGATCAAGAAGAGTAAATTAATAAATTAATGGTATAAATTAGTATTACTATTAGTATTAATTGGTGGTATATCGTGTATCGTTATCATCATTTTTACGATTTGTATAATATTTATTTATTTAAATTTAAAATCAAATGGTTACTGTGCTTCACTTATTATGGAACACTCGTATGGGGACCTAGTGTTATCTTTTATCAGGCATTACAAAAATTAGTATAATCGTATAACATAACATACATAATACTACAAGTGACATATAAATATAGATGATAAAAATATTACTTAATATTACTTTATATTAATTTGAACTATTTGAAAATAATTCGATGAAATGAACTTTGGTGCTAATGTAAACGTGTTAGGTTACAGCCGTGAACCCGTGGTTACTTCTCATCACGGTTATAGTCAACTGTGCTTATCATTGATTTTTGTGTCCATAGCGCCACAGTATGGCCCCTACTGATTTTCGTACTTATTAAAGAAACGACGATCTTAATGACTGATTGGTGTTGTAGAAGAATTGTTAAAAGGTCGTTTCAGGAATTTGTGTCTGTGCCAAATGTGTTTTCAAGTCTCGTGGTTTTCAGAGTCTTTATTGTTTTTCAACGATTCCAATAACCGACGTAAGTATCAAGTTGTTATCACGACGTAGAGAAAATAATATTATTTCAGTTTTGTCATCATGATTGTTGTTATTAAATAGATTTGTTGCTTTGGTCATATTATAGTATGATAATATTGATTTCTCTTTTGTTAGTACCTATCGGTTCTTCTGTAGTTCAGTGTTTTGCTTTTAATATCTAACGAGTGACGACTTACACAAATTATTTCTTCCAATTTCTATTCCTTATTGGTATAACCATTTATCACACTTTATTAATAATTATATAACTTATAATTTGCATAGTTCATTACACAAGTATTCCGATGTTTTTTTTCAATTAGTGCATTTAATAATAGTTTTGTGTTTGCATATTTATAAAACATTTTGATAAACTTCAAATCAATTAGAGTCAGTACGTATTACAGAAATGTTTGCAATTTAGTTTTATATTATCAGCGTGTTTATTTTTACATTATATTAAATGGTTCGAACAGACTCTCATTATAGTATAAGTACTTATTTTTAACTTAAAATTTAAAATCTTATTTTATGAGACATGGACATTAAAAAAAAAATTCTAAAAGAAAGTTTTAAATAGTGCTAAAAGATTAATGTTTGGATAATTACCGAGTAATTCAGTAATAGTGTAATCGCCTGGCAAGCAAGAAATTTGTTTGATTCTTGATCCAGTGGTGAACTTTTTCATTATCTTCTTAGTAGTTAACTTATTAACTTAATTTTTTTCAAAATTAAATATTTTGTCACTTAGTTACATAACTATGTAAATCACTTAGGTTCTCTGCAGAAAGGGACATATCCATAAAACCAATTAATACAGGTGGCATATTTATTTATTTGTTCTCTTCCTGCACGAAACACCAACTTTAGCGGCTGATATTTCTATGACAGATTAGCACTTTTTTTTACACAAAATATATCTTTAAGGTAGATATATACATATCAGGTGATAACTAAATTCTTCAAAAAGTGAATATTGCCCCTTTCTGCTATTAATGATATATGTATGTTTGAACTTAGTGTAAACGCCCTTCAAATATTTAGAATTTGTATCAGTTTTATTATTACAAATTATTAATATAAGTTAGAAAACATAAAACTAAACTCTGTATTTTTATTTGAATTAATTTAATCTCCAAATCATAAAAATACAATAAATTGACATAGTATATATTAAAGTTAGACAATAGATAGTTACAAAGTAATAAAAGTGAATAACTTTACTTTTGAGTTACTTTTTCTCTATAGGTAATATATTACTTTTCATGCAGTTGATTTATCAGTCTAAAGTATTGGGTTGTGATCTGGCACCCCCATTTTTCGTGCAATGCGCAACAAATTGAACAAGTTCAAAACAGATTCTTATCATATACTGCTATCTTTTTAAATTCCATCATTCTCAGCATAATTACTCCCTCGTTCACTCAGCTCTTCGACTTCCAAAATTGGCCACACATAGAGTTCCAACAGATAACTCTCATAACACCCCTCCTTTATGACACCATTGACTCTCCTGACCTATCCTCTATATACTTCCGTGTTTCCTTACATAATACAAGAAATCACTCTCTTTTTTTTATTCCTTATCATCACATTTTATATGGTTAAAATTATCTGTTGCATAGAATACTAAGGCATCTTAATAGGTTTGGCCCTAATTATATTTTTTTTAACTTATTCAAATGTTTATAATATACTCTCTTTGTAACATTGTACTACTATTATTATAGTATACTACTTGTACTAAATATATTGCATCTTTAAATGTTAAAAATAAATAAATAAGGTAGTTTTAAGTCAGTGGTGTAATGGAATATTTTGGGAACCATAACCATTGTTTATTATGAGTAAATTTATCTCCATATAATGAATCTAATGTTTCTTCACAACAGACAATTTATTTAATAACAGACCTGTCCGAAAAATATGTCTAACAAATTTTCTTTAATATAATTTCATATATAATGTTTATGTTTATAATATGCGCTTACATAATTTTTTTAAAGTATATATGCAATTAATTAAATTTAAAAATCATGTTAGGTATCTACCTAGTTAGCAAATTTCTGTGTAATTAAATTATTATTTTTTTTTTTTGCTTAAGTGACTTAGCTTTATGTAAGTTTTACTACAGTATAAAACTATTTTGATTAAAACTTAAATAAATGCTATTATTATAAATGTGTATCAGTATATTTGTTCTAGTTGTATAACCCAGTTTTGGACAATTTTTCATTCTGATTTATATATAGAAATAAGACATAGTTTTCATGCATTTCCTTTTCACTTTTATACATAAGTATAACAGTATAGATATTTATAATCGAGTACCTATGTTTAATTTCAAGAAAAATAATTTTTTTGCTTCGTATTTATTTTAAAAATAGTTGTGGGAAGGAGGTTGCCATTAAATGTTTGCATCTTTTTATAAGAAACATAAATGGAGCATTTATTTTAAGTTATATGAATCACACATTTTACTATTTTAACATTAAACCATTAATTTATAAGATTAATTAAAAATCAAAATAATTTGGTACTTTTTAAAGAGTGTATTTAATATTAATTTTATTTGTATAATTCATGTTGATAAGGAATAATAGTTTAAAATATTTAACCTAAATTTACACAGTAAAATATGAAATACCCAATATTTAAAAAACATTTCTAACTGATACAATTCAAATATCTAGTTACTTTAATCTTTGACTGACTTGAGACTTAATTTATGTTGTGAGACACTAAAAAAAAAAGTTTATAACTATAATCAGTTACTAAAGTTGAATAAATTGATACTAATAGCTAATATTTGGTGAATATTATTTCATTTATAATTAAATAATTAATATTAAAACTGGATGCCTTATTAAGATATTATTTGTTATTATTTAACATTTTATCATTAAGTTAAATATTTATTAGGGTGGTCCTTAAATAGGACATAGAGATGGGTAATTTTCATAGGGTTTGAAATGTTGAAAAACAATTTCACCAATTTTTTTGGATTTTTATTTTATTTCCTTCGTCTCCCTATTTCTAAATTCAATTTTCATTAATAATAAGACAAATATGCAGATCTAATATAGTATCAGCAGATATAAAAAACCTCACCCATTATCTCAAATTTTGGAATGAATTTTAAAATGATACAGACCGATTTTTATGAAATACAGTAGAATCCGTTTAATTGGGACATTGCCTAACAGGAACAACCTCTTAATAGGGACAAATTGGCAGAGCCTGAAGGGATATATTTATTTTAGCTAATTTAACTTTGTTTATTGAGGACAAACCATCAGTTATAAAAAAATAAAAATGTCTACTTAGATTGTTGAATAAAAGCACATGATAATAGATTTATTGAAGGACATTGTCCCGCTCCAATTAATTCTGTTTTTCAAGGGTATTCCTAATATAAATATCTATTAATGCAATACACTATATAGACATTTTTTCTCCAATATTCAAATGTCTTTTTTTTAATGTTCGACAAGTACCTATGTATTAAATTTTCATAATATTCCACACCACTAGATCAATGTACCATGGACACTATTGAATTATAATTTTTTTTAAATTTAATAATTAGTGAGTTAAATGTAAAAACAGGAAGATGTAGGGAATGAAAAATCTAGAAAAATTAGAAAAATTTAGTTTTATTATTTAGAGCCAATTTATGTCTTTCCAATATAGAAATTAAAAAAAAAAAAAAAATCCTAGGGACCTTTCTAATACATATATATTTTTATTTTGTAAGCAGAAATCTAAGTATGAGTTCACATAAAATCAATGTTGAATCAGATACAACAAAGACAAATGATAGCAATATGGCTGAGTCATGTCAAATTGTTTCGAGTTCTACTGATGATATTTTATTCGAAGTGAAAGGTAGTATAACAACATAAATATTTATAGTTATTAATTACAGTTTTTCAGCTATTTAGTATTGTTTAAACATTTTTATTTTATTTTATTTTTAAGGTTTAATAATAAGAATATTAGATACTTAATAAAATATTAATCTTAAAACAAATTTGCCTAAATATAGATAGTTTATTGACTTATAATACATATTATTTTGATATTAGGTTAATATTAACTACCTAGTGAATTAATTGATGTTGGCTATTTAATTATAGATTCTCAAAGCTCATCAGAAACTTCTATTTCATCTTCTGAAGATAGCAATATGAATTCATCAAACACACTAAAGACAGATGAAAGGAAATCTAGATCTAGATCGCGTTCTAATGATTCGTCAAGATCTTCTACACATTCACCTATTGGATCTCATTCAGAAGATAGATCCAGATCAAGTTCAAAATCTTCAATTTCTTCAGTCGGTTCAATTAGTTTTAAAAAAAATAATAGTAAACGCGCAAGAATTGATTCAGAATCATCTGATGATGATCTATCAGTAAAAAATGAAAATATTAATCAAGATAATGAAGGTAATAGAAAATTTATTTATTTTGTTTAGGTTTTAAGAATCCCCTTTTTTATATCAATATGCTAATCAGATACAATCCCAATAGGTACCTACCTCAAAACCAAATAAAGGCAGCTTAGTTATTTTAAAATTATATTTCATGTTTTTAGAACAAGAAGATATAATAGTTCAAAAGAAGACATTTAAAAAAGTTAAAATTATCTCAGATTCGGAATCTGAAGAAGATGATACAAATGCAGAAATTACATTGGTCAGTACTATAATTAAGTATAATAATTATTTAATATAATTTTATTTTATAATTTAGGCTCAAGAAGAACATGCCATATCTGATAAAGAAATCACTAAGAAAACAAACAATAGATTGGAAGTTAATGAAATATTACCTGAAATATCTGATAATTCTACCGACTCCGAAGATGAGCCTAGTGTAGTAAATGACACAAACTCTAATTATGATGACAAAGATAAACCTGAAATCCATAATTGGTAATATACTAATAAAGTAAAACTATCTTTACACTTAAAATGATAATTAATATGGTATATTAAATATTTAGTAATGATAATCCAGTATCAGATTTTGAAATTATGATGATGAAGAAAAAAGAAGAACAGTCTTTGAAACGGCGTAGGAAAGACATTGAAATTATTAATGACAATGATGATATAATAGCTGGACTAATTAGTGATATGAAACATGCTGCGGAAGTAATTAACTTTTAATTATTTATTATTATTTATTTACGCCAGATGGGTAGAGAATACTTATATTATATAGTATGTATTAATATAAACAACTTTGTTTAGAAGTTTAGTGTAATGTGGCTTAGAGAATTTACATTATTAAAAAAAAAAATTATTTAAAATGCCCAGGACTATTTAGGACAAAATTATGTTAACCTAATTTCAATGTAAAGTATATTTTGTGTTCATCAATGGGACATGAAAACTAGTCTTGTTTAATAACTCGAGGTATAATAATTTACCATTTAGTAATTTTTAAAGATCATTAAAATACACAAGGTGATGGTGGTTTAAGACCACAACTAATCTCAACAGTAGAGAAATTGGTTAACCAGCCAAATGTCCATAATGCTTCATGAATCTCAATATAACCTAAATTTCTGAGCACCTTAAGACTGGTGGTTTCAATATGACTATTAAATGATAGGTCAGATAATAATATTTTACCTAAATCTTCAATTTTATTAACAACTAGTATCATTAACTGTAACTGGGTTTGGTTGGAGACAGACATTTTCATACATTTTTCAGCATTAAGAAAATACCACACCTGCACCAACTCTCAGTCCAAATATTAAGCAACATGTAAAAACAATGCTTATGCTGACTAAGTATAACTAGCTTTATTTTAATTTTAAAATAAAAAAGGTATTTTTTATGTAATGTATAGAGAATATTTTGGAGGAATCTCAAGTCAGTTTTTAAAATATGTAAATATGTATAAAGTATTAAAAGAGAAAAAAAAAAAAGGTTTTTCTATGTCGAGCTACATATTTAGAATAAATACGAAAACCCTACAAGGTTCCCTCTAAAATATTGTAGCTAGTTTTATTTAGTTTATGTAAACATTGTTTTTACATGACGCTCAGCAATTGAACTGAGACAGTAGATGCAGTGGTCTATTAAGTGACACCAATAATTTTATATAATTCAATTGAATTATTAAAGGGAAGAAATATGTTTAGATCATCAGCAAACAGTAAACAATTACAATGAAAAAAGACTGTTTATGTTTCATAAATACTAAAAGTAAAAGTGATCATAAATGTCCACCTTGTGATACACCTTGAAGATACATTTATTGGTAGAATCATACTATATTTAATTTTGACTATCTATCCTCTATCAAAGATAAAAAGGACAACCATTGAAGAAGTTTCCCATGTTGGCCATAGTTATTCAATTGTATATTCAAATTTGGTCCACAGAGTTAAAGGCCTTCTTTCTATCTATATATGATATCTACTTGGTCACAGTTGAAAACATTATCAATAAGATTTGTGTAAAACACTAACAAATTAGTATCAATTGATATTAATTTATATTAAACTTCATTTTTATTAGTATTATTATTATTGTATTCAATTTTATGTCATTTATTAAGAAAGTAAATAACAAATTAAGTAACTTATTGATGTATAATTTATGTAATATTTGAATAATTTAAAATTTATCTAGTTGGATCGTCAATTAAATAAACAAAGCCAACCAGCTATCAATAAGATAACAATGTTGCCGAAATGTCTATCACAGTTGAAAAAACATAATTTGATGTTGGCTTTTATTGAGCATAATGTATTAAATGTTTTCACTGATTGGTTAGCTCCTATGCCAGATCGAAGTTTGCCTTCATTACAAGTTCGTGAGTCTTTACTAAAACTTCTAGCTGATGTAAGTTAATCATTTTTTTTTTTTTTATTCAAAATTTATTTGATTTATTAATTTGTCCATTTTTATTTTGGATTAAAGTATCCACCAATTGAACAATCTACGCTTAAGTATTCTGGTGTTGGTAAAGCTGTTATGTACTTATACAGACACCCTAAAGAAACTAAAGAAAATCGTGAACGTGCAGGTCGTTTAATTAATGAGTGGTCACGTCCAATATTCAATTTATCAACCGATTTTAAAGGTGATTTGAATGATTAATATTATTAATTTTATTGACAATCATAAAATGTACATGATTTTTTTCATTTAAGCCATGTCCAAAGCAGAGCGAGAAGAGAGAGATTTAGAACAGATGAAAACGCCAAAAAGAAACAGGTCTAATGCAAGTCATAGCAATAATCGTGATGACGATGATGATGAAGAAAGGTATAACAATTATTGTTTTTCCAACATTTTTTAACACAGTGTAAATGGTTACTTTTAAATTTAACTAATTATATTCCACTTAACTTGTTACTGACATTTTGAATCTTCAAATACTTTACATCATCTTTATTTTTATATAATAGGCAATGAGCACATTGATTTTTTGGAAAATGAGGTAATAATAAAATGATGTTACAATTGCCAGGTAGAAGAAGTGAGATTTTCGAGACCAATTGGAGTGAAATTGCACAATATTACACTTTATAAGTTATTATTAGCTTTTTGACACTGGATCGCTCTGAAAGACACAGTCGGGAACTGCATAAAGATTCCTCCCTCTCAAACATAATTTTTTTTATAAAATTTAATTTAATGACTTTCAAATTTTAAAAAAATGTCAAAGGGGGAGGGATGACATAGCATTTATAAAAAAATTTCTTTATTATATAGTTATGGTTATAAAACATATTAATTAATAATACTTTATTTAGATAAGTTAGTTGTGTTGAACTTAAAGATTTTTTTTTTATTCTAGTCCAAAAACATTAAAACCAGGGGACAAAGGTTGGATTTCTAGAGCTCGTGTTCCCACACCATCAACTAAAGATTATGTTGTTAGGCCAAAATCAACAACTGATGCTGATATTTCAAGGGTAATTAATTTTATTTGATATTTACCTCTAAATTATATTATGGTTCAAATTATTTATCATTAATTTATATTAAGACTGTTAAACGTCCAATGAACCGCTTTGAAAAACATTTAAAAAATTATATGGATGGTAAGCGGAATGGTCAATCAAAACGTGCAGTTCCAATATCGATTGAAGGCAGAAAAATGGGATTGTAGATATATTTAAAGTATAACAATTTTTGATTTATTGTAAAAACTATTTGTTTATTAGTAATATACATTGATTTGGTACTTAATATATTAATGTCAAGATATTCTTATTAGGTATTATTATTTTCTTTTTTACAAATAAATTTTAATTTTATATACAATATGTATGGATTTTTATTAGTTTAAGACAGAATATTGTTAATCATTATTTTTAAATTATAAGTTTCATAATGCATACATATTTAATAGTATGGCTTTTTCTATCTTAACAATTCAGTTAAATTATTTAAATAAGTCAATATAAACTATTTATATATATACACACATACTACATTTTTCTATCACTAATGATTTTGTAGTGTAGATTTTATGGTATTATGTAGGATTATATCAGACTCTAGTAATTAAATATATATATATTTCATTTTATTTTATATTTACAGGTTGTATTTTTTTTTTTTTAGAAAACTAAGTTAAAATTTTGGTTTATATAAAATATATTATTAAATAAATATAATAATATAATGTTTGTCATATTTATTGTTGTAATAATAGTTTTATAAGGATTTCCTGCTGCAATGATAATTTAAATATTTTTGTCGTGTACCACAATACACCATTGTAGAGTGGCAAAATGACAAATTACTTTTTTTGACAAAGAAATGTATATTAAAATTACTCTTAATTTTTTTTTAGTCAATTAAATATATAACTATAAAAGTCAATTAAAAATAATATAAAGTATTATGATATACCCAACTAAATATTCAGCAGCTTATCATAAATATTATATTTTGATCAGTTTGCTGGCAGTCACAGCTATTTTCGTTACCAATTAGTAATATTACCTTGGTAATAACAAAACTCTATTAGAGCAGTGAAGTGACCACCACCATGAAAAACAATAAAAAAAAGTATTAATATAAAAAGTATCCCTCAGAAAAGAAATATTGTTTCATCCAATGACCACTACCAAACATGCGATGGTGATCAATTATTCAAATAAGTACATTTGAAAGCACACATTTGTGATAGCGTTTTCATGAAATGCTAACTAAAATTAAATATAAAAAATACACAAATTAACATACCAGTGGTAGACAGTCAAAATTAATATTTATATGACTGGACAGACATTCATACCAGAGATCCTGTTTTTATTTTTATTTTAAGAGTTCTTTATTTAATTTAAATACAAAAGAATAACTTAAATTATTTATTAAATCTTATAGTTAATGGTTAAATTTGATTAAAAAAAAATAAAATATAACATGTTCTTAGATCATATACTATGGATGAAGCAATGTCCCAATATTTAAAGCACATATTTCGTTGAGATGTGTTATCTGGTATACTTGTCAAATATTTATTCTAATTAGTGCATTTTCCCTGGGAGTTCATGAGTGTTAACTAAAAATTCTTATTAACTTGTGTATTATCACAGTTTATACATAGATAATATAATATTTATGATTATAACCCTATATTGTTCAAAGTTTTATTTTTTTAACCACAAACTAAGTTTTTGTTTCTTAATTACATTTTTGGGTGATAAAAAGTAAAATTATTTCCATTTGAATTACTAATAAATAAAATGAACAACTAGGTATATTACAGTTTACTTGAATATTTAATATAGAGTTTATTGATAAAATAAATATGCAATGAATATACTCATGCATCTCAATGGAGACACTAATATGTGCTTCAAATTGTTTATACAGGCCAGATAGGTTATGGCTTCATCCATAGAATATGATCTAAGAATATACAAGGTGATTTTCTTATGAACCAGCAATTATCTCCAGAGTTTTTTAAATTAATTTAATTTCTGTTTTTCTAATCACTGGAATTATTTAAGCTTTATTTTAAAACCAGTTTTAATTTTTTTAGAAATTTTAATGCGCATAACATTAATATCAGATTTCCCATTTATGAATTATAACAGTTTAAAGTTTAGACCACAGGTGATATTAGTGTAATGCATATTAACATTTCTAGAAAAATATTCTCTATTTAAATCTGTGTTCAAAAGGGGGGGGGGAGATTTCTATTTGAAAATAAAAAGTATGTACTTATTTACGGTATATGGAGTAAAAGTAAAAAATTAAAAATGGTTTTAAAATAAAGCTTAAATAATTCCATAATGATTAGGAAAAACATAAATCAAAATCAAATTAACTTAAAAAAACAAAGATAATTGCTGGTTTATTTAAAAAAATGTCTATAACATTAATATTGTTAATTTAGTCAAATATTTGATGAATCAATACTATTAAATCAATAAATATCATTAAGTTACTAGCATAGAAAATATACTTAGGTAGGGTCTATCAGTGTTTCAAAACAAAATGTATGTAATAATTAAAAAATAAATAAATTTTCAGTAAATTTAACCCAACTATAAACTATAACTGTAAACAAAATTTAAATGCTTATAGCTTGTGAAACAAATTAATTTAACAATAATAATGCTAATGATTATGCAAATAAAATAAGAATGAAATAAAATTCATGTAAATCCATACAAAAGTGAATTTAGTGACTACAAAATATTAGGGGTAACAAAATATTTAAGTTGATATATTTTACTATATCAAGAATAATATAATGTCCAAATTAGAAGATAATTTATAATACACCTGATAAACACCATACTCATAACATTTCGAAATACAATTAAAGTGATTTTATGATATTATAAATTATTTATAGTACCAATTATCTATGATGACTCCTATAACTCATCTGAAATAGGGTTTTTTACATTGTGACTGCATTTACTTGTGTTCAACTTAATTCTTCAGGACTTTACTGTTGGGTGGTATGAATGACTTTTAAATTCTTAACTTTCTTCTTAGATGATGAAGAAATTTGTTTACAGTTAACTGTTAATGGTACAATAGGTTGGAAATTTCTGGTCATGTTCAAATCAACAGGACTGTAATTAAGATATAGTGGATACACTCTTTTCATTGCAATATTTTCAATATTTGTGATACATTTGGCAGCTGTTGTGGAATTCTCAGATATAACGAGTGGGGAGGAATTAAAAGAATCAATTGTTGTATTAATAGGTGGAATAATTATTTGGTTATTATCAGGTATAATTTCTGATGGTTTACAAATACTTGTAGCAACAACAGATTTAGGTATACTTATGATTTTAATTAATGGTTCTTTTTTTGTTGTAACAGGAATGGATGGTGTTGACAAATTTTGTTTCATCTGCACTTTTGCATTAGTATTCATATTTGTGTATTTTGTTATTTTACCATCATAGAGAGAATTTATTGGTAAAATGGCATTTTTATGTAATGGTGTTACTCCTAGTTGCTCACAATGATTTTTGTTATTACGTTTTCTTTTGAATTGAGGAAAAATATACTTAGGAATATGTTGATTCATTATTGAATTTTGTTTTAATGAACAGGGCGATTTAAATTTTTTGTTTTGAATCAGCTCCCCTTGTAGGCGGTATTTTTCTAGCAATAATAGGAACTTAAATAGTTCTATAGAACTGAAAAAAGGTTTTTGCAGTTGCTTATATAATTTAAATACATCAGATACAACTTTTAACTTTAATGTATCATTGAACTGAAACTCTGGTAAGTTTGGCAAGGACAGAGGATCTGCTAATGGCAGTATGCTCGTGCCTACAACTGGTCCCACTTTTTGTTTTGGCATAGATTTGTTTGAACTACAAGAAAGCAATTTTGGGGTGTCAGGTTTCATAGCAGATTTAATATGTTGAACTTTTTGAAGAGGTATATTATTTGTAGATAGTGGATCCAAAATTTGTTTTAAATTATTCCGTGGAAGGGCTGTATCTGTGGTAAAAAGTTTTTTTTTATGCACCAATTTTATATTAGGCTGTGTTGATAATGGCTGATTTTCAATAAATTCTAATGGTAAAAGTCTTCCAGGTTGCAAATTTAATGTTTGACAATTGACATTTTTGTTGATGGACGGCTTAAATAAAACCATCAATTGATCATTTTTATTATTTATGGATGTCTTAAAAGAATTCATTGTTGGAGTTTTATAGATTGTACTAGATTTGGTTGACATTACTTTTACAGGCATTTTAAAAAAAATTGTCTTGACATCTTCAAAGTTGTTAATATAGACTTTATTTACTGTATTAGATATCATGGGTGTCACTTTTGAGTATATTTTGCAAGTCTTTTGAGCAGTATTTGTAATATTGTTTTCAGGGATTTTATTAAGTGTATTATATTTGGTGGATGTTAGTTTTGCTGATTTTTTAAAAACATTTTCATCTGTGGCTTTAATATTGTTTTCGGGAACTTTATTCTTTGTAATAGAATTGACTGGTATTAATTTTGAATACATTTTGAAGGTATTTTGATGAGTGCCTTTGATGTTCTTTTTAGGAACTTTTCTCTTTCTTCTAGGCTTGAATGGTATTCTTTTTGATTGTATTCTCAAAACATTTTTATCAGTATATATGATATTTTTTTCAAGGATTTCATTTACTGATACAGGTATATTGATTTTATGATGTTCACAAATTCTATAAAAAAGAAAAACACAAAATTACTTGAGTACTGAACACATCAAATACTCTGCATGTAAGAAAGAAAATTAATTTATAACTTATTTATATAATTGATCATAATTAAAGTCTTATTGTGACTTAGTCTATACAGTCTTTATGAAAGTTATGAAATTATGTATCTTTATTGATTACTCTGCAAAGAAAAACATGGAGCTTTCTCTTAAAGGCAGAAAAAAATTAATGTATACTAAAAATATAGAAAACAAAATTCGGGATTTATATTTATAAATCCAATATACAATTTTAAAAAAAAAAAAAACATACTAAAAATTAAATTAATAATTAATTTGTAAACACTGAAGGTAAATATAAAATAATCTGGTTTTTAATTATGAATATCATAATAAACATTTTTTTTTTTTTTTAAATAAAAGTTTAACAAATACCTATTAACTGAGTGAAATCCAATAATGGCCAAATTCATAAAAATATATAATTATGTTACTATCAATTTATTTACAAACAGGTCAATTTAAAGCAAACCAAACTAATTTACAATTTCTTTATAAATAACTAGCTGTCCTGCCAAGCCTTGTCTATGCCAATTTTTGTTTATTTTATTACCTATATTCCTTTTAGTTTTGACTAGTAATAAATAAAAACAAATATGTGGAAAGATATTCATTCACCAAAAATACCTAAATACTTAATTATTGAAATTTTCTTAAGGAAATCAATTTTTTTTTTTTTAAATAAAATACAGCCCATGATACTCCCTGATAATGTAGTGAATGGTGAAAGAATTTTTGAAATTGGTTTAGTAATTTTTGAGTTTATTCATAACCATCATACAAAAATACAAATCTTCACTCTTTATAATATTAAAATAAATATATAATATATATATTAAATAGTAATTATAGTATTTAGTATAGATAAATATTATATTCCATAGGCATATAAAAATCTAAAACTAATGTTTTTTTAAAATATAATATTTTATAAACAATGATTTATCAACATTTTACTATAATCTAACAATAATTTGGAAAATAATTATTACCTTTTTATTACATTACTACAATGATCTCTAATATCTTTTGGTTTATTCAATGAATCTGATAATTTATTATTTTTCCATAATAAATAAAGATGGCATGATTTGCAAATAAAAAAATCAGTATCTAGAGTAATTGGAATTCCATCTTCAATAAGACTTTTATTAAAATCTTCAAGTTCTGATATTTCTAAAATCTTCTTATGAGTACTTTGATTTCCACACAATTGGCACTGAATAACTTTCAGTATCTAAGAACAAATTATTTAATAATATTTATTAATATGAAATGTTAAATGAATCTAAAAACTAATGACAATAATAAAATTAACTAATATAACACCTCATCATGATGAGTATTGCATGTAGGTAACAAATTTGTATTATTAGCCCAGGATCTAATTTTGACCTAAAATCAACAAAAAGATAAATTAATAAATTACTATTTACTACACAATATACAGAAATAACATATCACCTATAATAATAAACTTTAAAGTCAACTAATATGGGCAATATTGACACAAGACTGTGTAGATCACCATTAAAGTACACATTTAATCTTTAAACAAATTAGATACTCTATTTGTTGTTTTTTTTTTTTTTTTTTGTAAATTAACAAAACTTTACTTACTCCTGTTTTGATAAGCATACATTTGATTTTTTTAACACATTCTGATTTATAATATTTAGAGGCAGGAAGTTTACAAGACATAAACGTACAAACATATTTTGACAAATATGCTACAGAACTTTTTCTCTGTACAATATGAAAACAAGTCGGACACAAACATGAATTGAGCCCTATCAAATGGTTAACATCTAAAATAAAAAAAAAAACAACATTTAATTAAAAATATTTTAGTACTTGTTAATTTTCCTCTTAAATTAAAATTATCTGGAAAACTAAGTTACTAGTACAAAAGTTTTTTTTTTCTTATAGTAAAAGTAACTTTTAATATTTTGATACCAGTTTCATAAATGATCTATATCCATTTTACTGGTATTCTAGAGGACCTACAATCATTTTTGAGACCTACAACTTTCTGTGCTTTTTATAAACTGTGTACACACACTATAAAAAGATCATATTATTATATTATACCTGGATTAAATTAAAATCAATAAACAGGATTTTTTAAATATTATCATAATTGATCAGTTGTAACCCAAAATTATCATTTGTTTCACCCACCAATTATAAGGTGAATATTGATACATAAAGAATGTAATACCTGTTTTCTGCATGACTAATTATTTGTCATTATTATTGTGTTAAGTAGGTAATATAGTCATACCTACAAATAAAGGTATTTTTATTTAAATATTTTATAATATATTCTTATTTTTTGTTGTATTTTTTTTAAAAATTTCATATGGTCTATTTATTAATATTTCATTTAATATGATTATTTTTAAATGTATTCAATAAACATAAAACTACACATGCTTTAGTTAACTATTGGTAGATTGCTTATGAAACCAGTAAGCAAATTGTAAATCTCAAAAATAAATGTAGATTACAGTCACTAATATTCATTAAAAAACATTCATATTTATTACATTTTACATACTTTCCAAACAAATTTTTTGTTTTTCTGGATTTTTAACTTGTGCTATATGACAAACTGTGTCCATTGAACCTAATATTACATAACAAGCACTACAATTTTGTGCACAAATACGTCCAGGGTGAAAAGATGATCCTGATGATCTTTCTGGAACTAAAATTGGCCTGAGAAAAAGAAAAAAATGTAATTATTAATTTACCAAATTGAACAGTTATTATACATACATAGCAGCATGTCTTGTGTTATTTCTATCATTTGAATCTTGTAATAAGAAGGACAGCTCTTTTATTTCTGAAAAATAATAATTTAAAGGATACTAAGTATGTTTCTTCTCTTTTTTAAATATAATATTTAATATTACCTGAACCAGTAGGGACAATTTTTTTGTTAGTATAATTTTCATTATCTATGGACAGTTCCTGAAAATCATGACCATATTATAGATACTTCAATAATAGGTAGATAATATTAATATTGTTATAAAACATTCTCTGTTTCATGTCTCAAAAATGAAAAAAAAAAAAAAATAGTAAGTACCAGTGGTGATGAAAATTGATTAGGTATTACATCTTTCTTCTCTTTAATGATTTGTATATTTTTTAATTCTTTTATAGACACTAATTCTAGAGCAGTCACAAAGGTTAATTTTGTTTGATATGATATCTTCTCATCTATAGATAATTCATAAAAATTTTTTTGTAGAATTGGAATTTCTTCTTCTACAGTTTCATCTTTTACAGTTATGTTATTAAGTAAAATTGAATCCTTCGTAATTTTATTTTCTAATTTCGAATAGTTAATTTCATTCTGAGATTGGGTTACTGGTAAAATTGATTCATAATTTATTAGTTTATTGTTAGTGTCATCAAAATATGTTGATGGTAAATATATTGAATTTGCTTTTGGTGTTGCTATTTTAGAACTGTTTAATAATGAAGGTTTACTCATTTTATTTTGGTTTTTCCTAGAGTAGGTTTTCGGTGTAAGAGATCTATTCTTGATTGATAATTCCAATTCATCTTGCATGGCAAATAAGGATGAACTTTCAATTATTGTAGGTTTTTCGGAATTATTTTTATAATGAGATTTTTCTTGAGTTTTATACAAATCATTATTTTGAACATTTATAGTACCTGAGGAAGCAATTATTGTAGATTTTTCAGGATTATTTTTATAATGAGATTTTTCTTGAGTTTTATACAAATCATTATTATGAACATTTGTAGTACCTGAGGAAGCAATTATTGTAGATTTTTCAGAATTATTTTTATAATGAGATTTTTCTTGAATTTTATTCAAATCATTATTTTGAATATTTGTAGTACTTGAAGAAGTAATTATTGTAGGTTTTTCAGAATTACTTTTATAATGAGATGATTTTTCTTGAGTTTTATTCAAATCATTATTTTGAACATTTGTAGTACCCGAGGAAGCAATTATTGTAGGTTTTTCAGAATTATTTTTATAAGGAGATTTTTCTTGAGTTTTATTCAAATCATTATCTTGAACATTTGTAGTATTTAAGGAAGCAATTATTTTAGGTTTTTCAAAATTATTTTTATAATGAGATTTTTCTTGAGTTTTATTCAAATCATTATTTTGAACAGTTGTAGTACCTGAGGAAGTATTTTCTTCAATTTCAGAATATATAAGTCTTTCATTAGTTTTAAAACTCCAACATTCAATTATTTTGGGACTACAACTTTCTGACTCATGAATTTCAGTATCATAAATATTAGTAATATTGTAAGGATAATTATAAATATTGGTAGCCTCATAATCTACAGTTTCTTGATTCAATTCTTGTTTAACAACTAAATTTGTCTGTTCATTATCTGCAGTTTCTAAAATCAATTCGTGGTTGTAAACTAAATTCATACTGGTTTGTTTGTTATATGCAGTTTTTGATGAAGTTAAGTCAGGCTCTAAACGGAAATTACAATTATTTGTTTTATTACATCCTGCTAGTAAAAAATTGTTTTCAGAATATATAGAGTCAATTAACAAATTATTCATTGTATTTTCAAAAATTGCAATATTTTCTTGTATTAATTCAACTTGTGGAGGTGTGTGATTGTTAGATAATGTGTTAAAATCAAAATTTGAATTGTCTTCTTGAGATAACTCATCTGAACAGATAGAGGAATCATCTTGAATCAATTCTTGTGCAATTAAATTCAAATTTGATGGTTCAATATTTGCAATTTTTGTAGAGGTGTCCCATGGAGGTGTCTTGCTATCACATGTATAGCTCAATGATGCAAAATTATTTTCAGAATATGTAGAAGGATTTAATGTATCATTTATAGTGTTTCCAAAAAATGAATTATTTTCTTGTGTAAATTCGACTTGTTGATGAATGCAGTTGTTAGATAATACATTTGGATCAGATGTGTTTAAAACTAAATTTGAATTGTTATCCTGTTGTATATTATCATCAGTATCATCTTTGATTTCAGATTTTATATCTTTTTCTATTTTAATACTATATGATTCACAAAATTCTTCATTTTTTATTTCTTTTTTAAAGTCTTCATCAATTGGAGGTAAATGACTCAATCTTCGACTTCTTCTCTTTTCTTTAAAAGTTTCATTCCAATTTATCCTTCTCTTGCGTGGTCTAATTGTGGCAGATACACTAGTATCTTTATTCTTTGATTTGTTTTGTTTATCAATATTTTCTTTTTTATTTGAACATGGTTTTTTAACTGATGAACAATTCATTTTCATTTTTTGTTGATTTTTAGCAATTAATCTATCTATAGGCGACATGTGGGCTATATTATTATACTTGGATTGTAAAAAGTGTCTTTCAAAACATTTATTTAACTCATTTTTATTTTTTGATGAATTACTTTCTAAACGCCCATTATAAAATGAAGCAAAATTGTCCATGGAATAAATTGAAAAGCTGGAAAATTAAAATAAGTTAATATTAATCACAATAAATTATAAACATGAATAATAAATCATATATAATTATGATTATATATAGATAATATAATAAAAGGGTTTGGATTTTAATGTAAATACGTAATTATATATGTCAACTTAATTATTTAAATATCAACAATACAAATTAATTAGAATTAGAATTAGTTAAACAATTAAACAACCAATTGTAATAAACAACAAATTTTCATCCATTGCAATCCAGATAATCAGTTTGTTTTTAAATATAATAATTTGTAATAATTTCTATTTTGTAATATAATAATGTAATTTGTTATTTTTATAATACTGTAATGTATCTGTATTTAATATTATTTTTCAATTTTTAACCTGAGAAATGTCGGGGATGTCAGCTAATATTTTAATAAGAAAGTAGATATTAATTATGCAATACATAAGTATATATTATAAATATAACTAATTTGAAATATCAGTTTTACATAGTTGGTGAAAATTAGAATTAACAAGTTCATACAAATATTAAGTAAATAGGTATTAAAAAAAAAAAAACAATGAAAATTGTCAATAGTTAAGATGTTTCCAACAGTATTATACATTCACAATTAATAAAATTAAAATGATGTAATAGTTATTTGTATAAAAAAATCTAATTTCTGTAGCTGACCAAGTGTTAAGTACATGAAATTGTAATCTTTATTTGAAAATATTATGGGCTAATACATATTTATGATTTTAAATAATTTCATTATTCATTTATATTTTTATATTTTATGGTTCGACTTAATGCATTCCAAACCTTTGCAAGTAATTGACAGCGGTTATATTTATTTATTTAAATTTTTATGTTTAAAAATTAAAAGGACACATGTTATTTTTGTTTTAAATTATTATGTTTTTATGATAAATATGTATTAATAAAAGTTTGTATTTATTTATTTAAATGGATACCTTTAAAAATTAATTTAAATATTTATACTATAAGTTTACTTAAAATTACATACATTTCAAAGTATTACATGATAAAAACACAAACCAAATGAGTTGACATTATAATTTCAAATAATTAAGTTCTATAGTTGATAATAGAAAAAGTAATAATAGAGTAATCAAATAGAAAAAAATGCATATAGATGAAAATGAGATATGAGCAAAATGGGTAGAATAGTATACACATTGACCAATCCTTTCAAGGGATAGGTTTTTATACAATGGAAGACCTAAATTTTAAAATGTACTTTTTCTTGCATTTTTAAATAACTCTAACCATAACTCTATTACAAGTATATCCGCATAATATTAATTTTATGAGTGTTAATACAATTTTCCATTTCAATTACTATATAATAGTAAGAAATACAACATTATTAATTGATCAAAATTAATCTAACTTTTACATCTATATCTATATTAGAATTATATACAGGGTTGGTAATATATTCGTATAAAATGTATAAAACTATCTAAGAGATTTTTTTTTTTTTTTTTGAAGTTTATTATAATAGCGATAACACTGTACATTTTAAATTTTAATAAGTATTTAAACTTATAAAATAATGTAAAAAATTTAAAAAAATCACATTAATTTGATGAATTTTCTTAAATTTATATAAAAAAAAAAAAACAAAACAAATTATTTGTTGGTATTATAAATATTAATATAATTATTAATAAAGAATAAAGATAAACTTAGTAATTAATATAAAAAATAATCACATATATCTTAGGTGATTACTATAAAATGTATAAAATGATGATTAAATTCAATTTAAAATGAATTTTAATTTTTAAATGGTAAATATAGTCACTAAACTCAATAATCCTGTTACCACACACTGCAAAAGAAAATTACTGTTGACTGAACAATATGATTTTAATTTCATATTAATTGGTCATTAATGTTAAAAATATGGTTTTGTTATTAAGTTAGCATTTTAATTGATCAGCCACAATATTTACTTAGGTATACCATATTAATATTGAATACAATGCATTTAAATTGAATGTAATCTAATTTAATAAAAGTGTAGTACTACATAACATTGTTTGCAGAGATATAATAGAAATGAAATAAAATATACTTTATATGGGTAAAACAAATTTATATTGTACTTGTTCAACATAAAGTTTTACTTTATACTTAGTACATGTCTACATGACTACCAATTTAAGCAATTATAGTTAATGTACAAAAATATTTATGCGCCATTGTACTATTTCTTTTTATCTGTTATAATAATGCAAGTTATTCATTATTTAGGTGCCTAGGTAAAGTTCCAATAATTGATACTTACAAAATAGAATTTAACAATTGTGTAGGTACTGCCTATAAACTAAATACAAAAACCACTGAAAACTTAGAGAATACAATAATAAACCATACTAAATTAAGCACATTAATGAGTAGAAGAAAATAACGATTTAGCCAATATCACAATTTTACACAATTTATACAAGTATTATACAATTTACTAAAACCATGAGTTCCACAATTCTTATCTTGACATTATGTCTTATGTGTGTATTATGGTCCGATAACCAAATAACCAAACTTGGTTACCAATGGTTAACGAAATATACAAATCTGATCATGAACAAACTAGTTAAGTTAGCCAACCTGTAAATCGCTACGAAAGGCTATAAGTGTAGAAAGCGCCCAATAACATTCTATTTAGTATTATGGACATTGGACTTGTGTCTATTAAGCTATACTATTGTAAATTTATAATTCGACCCAAACGATGATGACAACATCGTGTGTTATGCTAATCTAAATAATTTAATCTTCAAATATACTCGCATATTATAAATTAATCATATTTTAAATAATTATGGTGAAAGACACCATTTATATAATATTAGGGTTGCCATAATTTCAAAAAGGAAATTCGAGATGAATATAAAAATAGCAAATAAAATTAGACTAAAAATATGATTGAATCATATTACGATTAGATATATATATATCTATATACCTATAATCTATATGTATTAAAATAACCTACTTATTATTTTATAAACTAAAACGATACAACACAAATTGTATCTATTTTTTTTATAGGTTATAGATTTACTATAAAAAGAACATTTATACATTTTTTTTAAAATCATCATAAAAGTTGTTTAAAACATACAATTAATAACTAACAGGTAATTATTTAGATACTATAAAGGTAAGGTTTTCTCATCATTTTTTTATCCCGAATACATTAAAAATCTCTCGTATACAGTTACGTATTATTCGAAAAAAATGTCGAAATTAAATAATATTAACTTTATATTTTAAATAAACCGGAACATATTGACGAACTTGTCGACAGTCCTGGTTTCCTGGGACATATATTAACCCTATATATTATATCAAAACAAATGTATATACTCGAATTAACGTATTTGTATGTATTCTCAGTGAATTTATATATGTTAAGTATTAAACTATTAAATAATATTGGCAGTAGTGGAGTAACAATGTGAAAAACTGATCTCTCACTGCTGTCGGTTAATTGGAAAAAAGAAAAATTATTAAATAATATCTTTTTTATTTGTTTAGTACATGTATATACGATCTTCATCACCGGTCGACTGTTGAATTAATTTTATGTCTTCGGGTTCAATAATTAATGTTTTATGTTTGACGCAATTTCACGCGAAATGCGATGTGTTTCGCAATTACATTTAAATAAAAAATAATGAATAATAATGGACAATGGTTTGAACTGTGGAAGTGTAGATTCTGGATTTAAGTTTTCAGTGTTGTACTATGTGTAATCGTTACGTTTTGGATTTTCGATAGAAAGTAAACACTGGATCACAAAATGACGTCATCGAAAGTGTTTATAGCCCCATTTTTATAATATGCGGTTACCACGGGTCTGCATTTTTAAAAAGAATTATATTCTATAACCAAATGTAGTACGTACCTATAAAAAAAAATAGTATCTACTAACGTTTTACGTTCCGAATTCTGCAATTTTACCGGGCTGGGGTTTTACTTTCAAAGATTTTATTTTCTATGATTTTTCGGTCTTCCGCATTAACTGACGGTTAAATTTACCGGAAACCAGCGCAATATTGTTGGTGAACTCACAATTATCGCTAACCAATAATTCATAGGGCATAGGGAATCAGGCTAAGACCGTGCCATTGGCATCGTCGAGAATTAGCATAACCTTAGCTATAACATACAATTTTCTTACTTTGAAAATCCCAATTATAAATTTACAAGATCATTTTTTACATAAATACAAATATAGACACCATTTATTTTCTTTTTAATACTTGAAAATGCAAGGTTGATGATAAGCTGTTTTAATAAAAAAAGTTAGTCAAAAGACACAATTTTTTTTTTTATTAATATAATCAAAATTAAATAAACGATAAAACGTTTTTAAATGTATAATTATTTTATTTATATAGATAGCTCAGAATTGTTTATCATTTGCAATTATTTAATGTAAAAACTAATTATAACACAGAATTTTTAATTCAGGTACATTAGATCAAAAAATAACTGAATGCCACAATAAAAATAATTAAAGCAAATAATTTGTGATTTATATTAATAGTTAAAGTAATTCATTTTTTTCTTGTTTATAGTAAGTAGGTATTAGAAAAAAATCAACTAATTCAAAAATATATGTATAATTATAAAGATAATAATCATTAATATTTTGCTAATTTTCAGTTAACTTTCGTTTTTTCTTTACATATATTATGTACCAATGTATTATAATATATTATATTACCACTAAACAAAATTCTACCATAGAAACATATACTACCTACTACTAATAAAGTAAGAAATGAAATATGAATAAATTAACCTTCTTCTTATAATTATCTACCTTAAAATTTGTTTATAAGATACCTAAGTTTATTGTTATTGTTATTTAAAATAATATTTAATTCTAATGAAACTACAAACAAACATAATTTATCCATAAAATAAATAGAAAATACTATTTAAAGCATACCTACCTAATTATTTTGACCATGGTAGATCATCGATTAGGTATATAATATAGATATAATCAGGTGCGTTTACAAAAAAATATTTCGTTTGCGGGGGGAGTTATAGTTTTATACCGTTATAAAAAAGAAGTTGACATAGGAACTTTCAATTGTAGGCTTATTTATTTTTCATTAAAAATGTCAATATTTTATAACATTCGTTTTTAGCTTTTTAAGTGGGTAACTATTACTAAACTTTACATTTAATATTCTTCTTAGCGAATACAGCCTAAATGATAACATAATTCATATTATTGTGATGATAATGCGGATTATTTATTATCGTTGTATCAATTATAATTTTCTAAAAGCAGGAAAACCACAAAAATTAGAAATAACAATAATAACAATATATACCTATTACCTACTTTCTAGTAATAAAATAAAAAAGAAACTAAAATTGCAGTTATCTTCCACATTGACAGAAACCACTTTTGAGACTCTATTAAAAATCTATTTCCATTAAAATGTTCATGAAATTTTGGAGTGGGTGGGGATTGAACCCCTAAACTCTCCCTTGTACATGTGCCTGTAATAAATGATAATATCTACCGAGATTTTGATACTGTAACAAACCTATTCTACAATTCACGAAGTTTATACTTTATTTTGTGTGACCACATCGATACTCGCATCATGGGAGTACGTCCTCCATAGTTGTAATTTCCAGCGTAGAGCCTAAACTAGTGCTCTTTAAGGATTCTACTAGAGCCTTACCTAAACTTATTTGTCAATTTTAGCTTGGTCAGTGGTGGATCCATGGAGGGGGCAATACCCCCTCCCCTTTTTGTTGAATTATTGTAAGCAACTATCGATAACTATTATTATTAAAAATTTAAATATTTAACTTTCCATATTTTAGATTCTGAGTGGAGCTAAGAAGCTATGGTTTTACAAAGATGTTTATTTTATTTTTTCTTCTGAAGGCAACTTTTTTACTAGACATTTTGCACCGATATACAATGATTTAATGTTAAAATCGCACACGCAATAAAAACAATAATTTTTTCAAGTTGGTTGCACTTACACGAGAGATCATTTGTCTATTTATCAATTAGAAAAAAAAAAGAATAATACTATATAATAAATCACGGTTAGGATTGCCAATCGGCATTGGACAGGATTGTTCTACATTTGTTTGATTTGTCCTACATCCAATAACGTTTTAAACTTTATGTAGAACAATACTACATTTCAAGTGTCAATATATATATATATATATATATAGGTTATAGCTTAAGGTCTATGAAAAAATACCTTTTAATAGTTCATTATTATATATTTTGAATGTATTAAGTTATCGTTTCCACTTATATACCTACTTTAGTATAATTTAAGACAATTAATAATTATATACTAGAAGGTATCTAAACTTATTGTTATGGGTACAGATTTATTACATTTTTCTAATTCTATTATTTACATATAAAATTTAATAATTATTGTGTGAAAAATTAAATGTTAATAAAATATAACTAATATTTTATTAGAAATTTTAATTTATAATTATTTTGAATATGAACCTACCTATTTAATAACAATTTGTATATCTAATAAATTGTAAGAACATTAACTGAATTATTTAATTAAAAAGAGTAAATAAAAATTAGGAAAAAAAGATTTAAATAAAATGTAGATTTTATTTTGTTAAAAGTTATACTTATAGTAATATATCTATTCTACTGTCATTACATCTGTTATAAAATTACCTATGTTATAAAATAAAAAATGAAAAAAAGACTGACATACTTCTCACTATTAGTGGAGCCACTGCTGTTGGTAAGAGGTTGGGAATGTAGGATATATTGGGGAAATTAATTTGTATCTGTAAGCAACGATAAACCATTACTAACGAAAAACGATTCTGAGCGGAGTTCAGTTGATAGTGATGCTTTGTCAACAATATGTATGTCATATAATGGTAAAATAATTAAACATGCATTATATATTTTCTAAACTTAATTTTTTTTTTACCACGGAATAAGATTCTTAATGAAATTTCTGTTAAATTTTCAAGCATTTCTGTTAAGTTAACAATTTTACCACAGAGTACCTACCGAATAAAAATTACGTACCAAAACTTAAAGTTGAAATGTCTATAAATATCCCTTAAACGGCTTAAATTTTTTTGACAATTTTACCACGTCTAAAAAAGGCAAATATAAATTTTCTGTCCAAATTTTAAGTGCATAGAGTCATTACGAAAATGTTTAACTAAATTGCAATAAATAAAAAATTGAAAAATAATAAAATCATTATTTTCGTAAATCTCCCGTTTTTCTTACGTTTTATCCTGGTTTTTCCCAAATATTGTTGAAACTGCTTGGAAAATTAAAAAACGACCTGCCAAAAGTACTATCTGGACAATATTTCCTTTCAGAAATAGTGCAGCGCGTAAATATCGGAATAAGATTTCTGGTAGAATTTCTGCACACAGTATAAAAAATTAAACAAACATTTTAGTAAAACAACTAAAATCGATGAATTCTTCGCTACACTCAGAAGCTAAAAACTGCCTCACATCACATAATTTGAAAGTTGGCAACCCTAATCACGGTAGGTATTATGTACGTATCTCTATTACTAGATATCGGATATGGCGGTTAATTTTGTTATTTTCTCTAATTGATATTTCTTATCATATTCAATTTATTCTGATTTGCCATGATTTAAATACAATTTAAATATTTTAGTGTGTTATATATGTTATCATAATACATTTTTAAATAAGTTTTTGTATGACATATGATATTATGTCACACACATTTCACACTTTTATAATACACAGATCTAAGTTCTTGCACTAATAAGTTGTTCCTGTTTCTATAATACAATTATACAATTTTATTTAATAGGTATCTTAATTCAGTATGAAGATATAGCAAGACATGTCCAATAACCTTTTAAACGATCCATTTGGTTGAATTTTGAAGTTAAGGTAAATTATTTTTAATTCTATATACCTACCTACCTACCTGTCAGCTATCAATAGTTCTTAATTAGGTATATTGTTATTGAAATTAAATTTAATAACATCTTCATAAGATAATTTAGTTATTTTATAATAATCAACTTGATGCTAAGCTCCGTCCTCATATCACTAAGGGCTCTTCAGGGCAGATAGATAACTGTTGGTCACAGTTTTTCTACGCGTATGGCTCGAGAAGCAGATACTACTGATGAACGTATTGAGCTGAAACTTTGTATAAATTTAGGTAGTTCTAGAAAAAAAAAAATTAATTGGCTACTTTTTACCCCTGTTCAACTACTAAAAGGCAAGTATTATAGGCCATTGATATTTTAGGTACAAAAATCAAATTATTTTTGTTGATATACATTGGTGGAATAGGTGAAAAAATAGTTATTAATAGTTAATTTAATTGTCACGGGCAAAGAAGTACATTTTTTTTAAAAAAAACCAATTACCTGATGAATAGTTAACTGTGATAGATACAAGAAGGATTGCCAATTATTTAAATGTGAAATGTAAGGCTAAAAAATACATCACATTTTTTACCGCCTGGATCTAAGCAATAGGTTAAAAAACACTTGCCGACTATTTAAATGTAAGATTTTACTAATGAAAAAAAATGTGTTCAAATTTTTTAACTAATTTTGTAAATATAATAAATATATAAATAATGTATTTTTTGATTATTTTAACAATAAGATCTATGTTTTAAAATGTAGGTTTGTACTGAATGTCGTAAGCAGCTGGTAACAATAATACATAGTGGAAACCGAAGAGTCACAGTTTTTAATGTTTTTATACTTTTTGCCATGGTATAACTTCAATACTGTTCATATGAAAATCAGTGTAAGACAGTTATAATATATATAGTAATTTCATAAAGTAAAAGGCAACCTTTTACTTTTTCTTGGTTGATTAAAATGTGAAAAAAAAATTTGTTTTCAAAATGTATTATATATATATATATATTATAGTCTAGCAAATCGCGTTCTGGAATACGCCGCCCAGATTGGTGACTTATCTATTCTTTATTATCTATGATTCACACATAAACGTAAATATTATATATTATAGGTTATTATGGATTTATAAATTATTACTAAAATCATTACAAGCGATTATATTCAGAGTTCCGTTAAACATTATTTGAAAATTGTGTTAATCTATTTAAGTATTTCAGAAGAGGTAATCACCTCATCGCCCTTCTTCAAATGGGCCACTGTTTCCAATTGGTAAAAAGGATCAAAATATTAGTTTATCTATAAAAAAAACTTTTGTTAGTATGTCTCATTATTAAAAAAACCGCACACTTTTGACTCACATTTTCTGACCAATTTTCCAGACGTATTATGGATCCGGATATTTTCTTAATGCGCCTATTAGATCCAAAATGCAACGATAAAGGTTTCTTGTCATTCCTTGATTGAAGCAAGTTTTCTGATAGAAAACTTGTTGACGGACACACAAATATATATATATATTATATATATAATGCATATATAATATATATATATATATAAGCACACAGCACAGACAGTATAGTAAAACCAATAGATTTTTTGTTGCGATCCAAATCTACAGAAAAAAAATATAGGCTCACATCATAATACTTTAAACAGGCTGTTTTTTAGTGGGTGGTTATGAATTATTAGCCAATGTATATATTATTTTATCCATTTTGCCCATAGGTTATCTTCTATTATTTTAGATTCTAAAAGGAGCGAAGAAGCTTATAGTTTTATAAAGATGTAAAATAATTAAATAGGCATTATACATTTTCTTTAACAATATTTGTTT